GTTATATTTTTCCTAATCAAGAATCGCTAATAGGTACAGATGGATATCGTGCACGTAGATCTTTATCTATATAAAAAGGTGAGCAAAATAAACGTGTATTGTCATCTCTTGACCGATGCATGCCAAAGAAACGGAAAGAGTAACCCCTTGTCACGTATTTACTGACTAACAACAAGTAATATGTACATAAAGACACCACACACGTAAATCTATATCTATATAAAACCTGCAAGCAACAAATATGATACAAAAGGTATTGTGAAATTATAAAATTATAACATCATCAATGGACCATGGAGATGCCAATTTCCTTGTAATGCTAGAAGTCCTTAAAAATTATGAATGTGTTACACTTTGGTCCGTTAACATGATCTTTGAAAGTTCTATATACCAATATTTCCGTCATGTGCTCCGCGTTAAGCCTTACTGTTGCATCCTTTTGATTGTGGATTTTAAGACTAAAAATTATCAATTCAAGTGTTAAATGGTCTAAAAGATTACAAAAATAGGGCACAAAACACATTCGAAGGACCATGAACTACAAAATTAAGCATGGTTATAATTTCAGCAACACACGTTCAAATAGGGTTTGCAGAAATACAAATATCATGGGTTGACCACTGGGATGCCAATGCGACTATACCACACAGTTTTACACCTTTGCCCCCGCTGCCCACTTATGGACAGTCATAAAATATCTAAACCGAACAGTTAAATAAAACGAAACAAAAAAAAGCAAAAAAACGTAAAGAAAAAATTTAAATAAAAACCCTAAAACATCAGCTAAAATGGATATCAAATTATCAACAGTCCCACCTCATACCGACACGTAGCACAACCCAATCCCGGTATCGGATGCCGTGCCACCTCATCAATCTTATCATCAGATTCCATTTCAGCCGTCCGTTCTGTTGACTCGAACCCAATTTCCTCCAATATCCCACGCACACGTACACTCATCCAACACTTGCCCGTGGGCCATTCGTGCTCGCCACTTGCTCCCCCCGAGCGCGGCTCGCCAATATTTCAACCCACGCGCCACCTCCCTCCCCCATGATCCTGCTACCACAAAAGACTTTGGGTGTTTCTATGTGCTCGAAACACCGAGTGCAACACCACGTGTCATTATAAGTAATGAAATATTTATGTTGAAAAATTAACAATTGAAAAATAAAACTTTCTTTCACTTATATGCTATCCATTGTCCGTATTCAGTCGCAATGAAAAATCTCTCGTTGGTAAGGGAAATGACCAGACGACCCACTTTAATTTACTGTGGGGGCGTGTCCAGAGAAGCCGGTTCCGTCATTATCTTCATTTTTTAAATATTATTTTTGGACAATACCGTGACGTGTAATAGCGGCAGGCTTTCCTTTCAGGCGCAGTACCAACCCACCTCTCGCCTCCGTAAATAGCACCAAACCTAGGGTTAAAATGGTAAAAGCGTACTATAAATCGAAAATGTATAAAATACGAGGGGCCGAGAAGGCAACAGAAAAGTTAATAACAAAACCCTGATTATATCGAGTACTGTGAGATCTGCGCAAACAAAAAAAACCCTCTCACCCCCGATAGCCTCCACAGTCCAAGAAAACCCTCGAGAAAGTGAGAGAAAAAAATTTCCCGGCAGCCAAACACTCCCTTCTGGGTTTCTCTCCATCTGTCTTTCCCTCCCAGATACGATCTTTGTTTATTCTTTCGGAGCTTTTTTTGTTTTTTCTGTCGAAGAAGAAAGATGCGGATCAGGAAGAACGCCAAGGTCTCTCCCCTTCTGTTCACCTCGCATGCTCCAGCTGCTGGGGACCTCCATCCGCACGTGTGCCAGCTCAACCGGAACCCCTGGGATGTTATTCCTTTGGGACCGGAGTCCGACCAGGTCAGTTAAATCTGTTTGTCTTCGAGCTCGATAATTTTATCCATTTTCGTTTTCTTTAAATTTCTGGGTAGATCTGCGAAGCCCCTCTTAAGCCCTTGAGCTCATGGTAATTAATTTCTGTTTTCCTACCTGCATTTCTGGAGCTAGGGTTTTCTTTATTGTCTTGGTTTTGTTGGTTTTTCCCCTAACATTAGGGTTCGTCATAAACCCTAAAATTTCCTGTTTTCTTCGTGTATTTAGTGTCTAATGCTCGATTAGGGAAATGGGTTTCCTTCCTTTTGTGATATTTCGAGGGGGAAATGTGAGTTTTTGATGGGTTTTTGTTGTTTCGGGTGGCTATTTGTATGTAGTGGGAGGTCGAAGAGAGCTTTTACGGTGGGAGCTTCGGTGATTCAATCGGAGCTGTCGAGAGGTAAGCCTCTCCTTCTCGTCGATTCGATTCGTTTTTCTCCTATTTCGTTCGATATTATTATTATTTCAAGCATTAGGGTTTTTCTGTTTCCTTTCGTTTTTATTCTCTCCCCTCTCTTAATTATATTATTATTCAAAATCTCTCGCGGCGCCTCCCTGAAATGTTGCTGTGTTACGATCTTACGAAACGCAGCGTGGCGTCAATGAGGGATGCCACGGAGGAAAGACGCTTGGAAATGATAGAAGAGCCCGTGGCGGAGGATGTCGAATTCGAAAAGGATTCGAATAAGGCGGAGGGCGAGATGGAGGTGGAAGAAGGGAGAATGGGCAGCATGTGCTGCCAACGGAACGACGGCCGTGGGTGGCAATGCAAGAAAAAAGCCAAGCAAGGGCAGTCCTTCTGCAACCACCACCTCTCCCTACTTCGATCGAACTACATTGTCAAGGCCAACGGGAATGGAAACAGTAGGGATAATGGAATTAATCACAACATTTCTTCGAGTAAGGCTCCTGCCGCGGTGAGTGGGGTGGTTCAGCTGGAAAATGGGGGCCGCCGCCGCCGGAAGAAGGCGAAGAAGGAATCCGCCTCTAACCCCTACGAGTTCTATTACTATTCGGGGTTTGGCCCGTGTCGGAACCGGAAGAGAGGCTGCGATAAAGAAAGGGAAGAGACCAAGGTCGTGGGTGAAATTGCTACTAATACCAGCTCTGCTACTACTTCTCCTCCTCCTCCTCCTCCTCATGAGAGCGGTCCTCGCTCACCCTTGTCTCCAATTGCGAATGGGGAATTCAATTATGACGACGAGGATGATGATGATGAGCTCGACGGCAGCGGCGAGAGCGGGAGGAGGCGGATGAGGAAGCCGGTGAAGGAAAGATCGCTCAAGTCCCTGATGTGAGGCAGCTGAAGGAATTCAGTGGATTATCGTGTTCTAGTTTCGGAGGAGGAGGGTGTTAGGGTTAAGAAATTTTAGAGGTAATTTTGTGTCACAGAATGTAGTGTTTTCTCGCGGGTGACCCTAGTGTGCCTCTCCTGAACATGACAGAAACGAGAGGGCTATCGTTAGGGTGTGAGTGACATGTACCGAAAAGATTGTGTGAGCCCATGTTCAAAATTGTAAGGGTAGTTTCGTAATTTAATAGCTGCGTTGTTATTCTCCTCTCTCTCTAGAGTTAGGGGTATGGTGATGTGGCTGAATGGAAGATGCTTGATCAAAAAATTAAAAAAATTAATTAGTTTTAAATGTTATGGCAAATTATATCCATGCAACATGGACTTTGTTGGGGTCCACAACTTTGAGTTCGACACGTGGCAGTGTAGTTGGAGAGCGGCCCATTCAGTTAAAGAGTTCACAGTATTCACATGATTTTTTATTTTTTTAATAAAAAAGTCCTTGACCTTGATTAATTAATGTTGAGGTGATTAAATCTTAATCTCCTTCTCTAATCTAATGACGCACGTAATTATATATAATAGTTGTAGGGTGCTATCTTTTGCAACGACAAGGAGGGACGCGCATGCATTACTAATTTTACCATATTCGGGTCGGCAAATGCTCACTACAAGTTTACAACATTTACCAAAACAAGAAACCTTGATCGAACCCTATCTAAGTAGCTAGTGAAATGAAATAGTATTTTCTTGTATCGTTGTTAGACGCAAAACATAATGCATACATACATGAAATGTTCAGAAAGAACATGATCTAGTGACAGAACAAGTCTAGAAATCAATGAGTTTTTTACCGATTATATTTGCGGATTTCATGTTCAATTCTTACAGATCGTGTTTGTAGAACTTTGTAATATAGTTTTGTTGGAAAATTCTTTGAACTCATAATATTCTAGCAAAAGTGTGCCCACTCGATGTTGCGGGTGTTTTTAAAACCTTACAAAACATCCAAAAAATTCTATATACATGTACAACTATAGTAGATGTTCAACGGTGGGTTTTACAACCCTATTTACACATATTTACAACGATGTTTACAATTCTGTTTTCACTCATTGGTCAAAAGATATTATTTATATGCACAAAAGTCAAAATATCAATCAAATAAAAATGTCTAAAATCGAATACAAATTTGTAAATCGAGCCTCCGCACGTGGAGAGGTTATTTTTCTATTAAATTTTCCTATATTTGGCTAAAAGGTCATATAAACACACTCATAAATTTTACATTTTTATAATCAAGTAGCAAGTAAAATTACAAACTTGTAGCAACCAGAGAGAAAGAAAAAAATTAAGATGTAGAAATATCCTCAAACATATTATATGAAAGCTAACCGTTTATGTTTGTAAAGCAAACTGCTGCATGAGCGGCAGCCACTTGAACAAATTGAAAGTACTTTAGTCTCTATTTCTTATTACAATAAATACATTAACACTTCAAAAAAGTAAATCTTTTTTTATCTTTTTGGGAAACTGATAAGAACAAAGGTAGCAAATTACAAAACTTGTGTATTTATTATTTCTTGAAGTATTGTTATATTATCTATTCCAATTTTCTAGGCAGCCAAACATTGCCAATCTCAATCACAAATGAACAAAGCTATGACATAAGGTAAGTTTATGGTAACATATACTCAACCTAAATAATTTGAAAACTATTTATATAAAAACAAAAGTAATTAACACTAATTAAAACTTATTTCGTGTTATTTCAATAAAAGTTAATATAAAAAAGTCTTCATTGAATTGCCTTTCCTTGAAGAATGTCTGCAGAACGTTCCTCTTCTGCAACTTTACTCATGACAATTCAAGAACAAAAAAAAAAAAACAAAAAAAAAAAAGCAATCAAAACCCATAAATGAAAACTGCCAAATGTGCACCATACGTATTCTCTTTTTAACTTGACAATCGTTACGTTACATGCGCAATGTGCACCATTTACAAAATTAAATGAAAAATAAAAAATATCAACAAACTTTAGCACAATGCTACTTTTCTTTTCAAAATTAGACTGTTTATTCACAGAATGGGGTACTTAAGTCCCACACCTATCTCAACAATTATGAGAGAAACATAATATGCGTCAACTTCGGTGTGATTTCCACTTCACAACATGAACACTAAGGTTCCATATCTCCTACCGTGTAATCAGAGGTATTGGAGTGGAATTGGAACATGGAAGTTCCAACTCACTGTGCATTTCATTAACATTATAAGGTACTACCTTCATAAAATGAGAAACTATTTAATACTTAAGTCCACAGGCAAGCTCTAAGAATTTTCCCAAGTTAGAAGAGATATAGCGATCCAATCAAACAATCCATAATTATTGACAAAATCAGAGACATATAACAGATTTCTTAAGCTAAATGAGTTGAATATTAATGTCAAGATGATGCAATCAACAATCGCCTATGCAACAATTCTGATGCAAAATTGCACTAATTTAGAAGACTAGAAACAAAAATTAGGAAAACGAATGACAATAAATTTAGAAAAATTGAGTTCGTTTTTACATAACAAAAACTATAAACGTTGGAACAATGAAGGAAAAGGGTACTTACATGTTCCTTGTCCAAAATCGTTAGTGCATTGTTAAGGGCAGCTATTAAAACCTAAAAAATTCCCAAAGGTGCAAAACTTAATGCCAAGACCCATTACTAAACATAGAGGAACTATAACCATAAAAGAGAACTCGAAAGCAAAATATCATGATTACAAATAAAAAAAGAACAGATATAAAACAAAAAGGAATCTGGTTTGTAAGTATGTGGATTCTTCACTATAATTTAAACACCATATATATGCTGACACTTACTGTTTGATTAACAGTATGTAGTATTGTTGGGAATAATAGAATGAAAAAGATTACATATACACTTTTAAGCCAAATATTCTAATGGGTTGGGCAATGACCACGCATTAAATTGACAACTCAAATAATGTTATATTATTTGCAATACACAACAGGAGATCTATGAGAATGTAATTATTATTGTCTATAATATAAGTGGCTTTTGATTAATGAGTGCACTTTATAAATTCAGTATGCTTGTGGTTGAGTTCATAGTATACTCAAGTCAGGTTCGTGTTCATTTGACATAAATGATGTCAAAACTCGCAACAAGTTTTCATCGTCTAATTGGGTTTGTGTTGATTTGATAAGGTTGAGTTCATGTTTGATGCATGTTGATTACGAAATCGCATATGACTATCATATATGAATGATTGTTGAAACTACAAAATTATAATTTACAATTGCAAAACATTGTGTATTGTAAACTGAGATGTTAAATATTGTGGAGCAATATTGCAATACACAATGACTAATGTGAACTACTACAATACAAAATTATACCAAGATTAGATTTCTAAGACTTCGATTATGGGTCAAGATTCATGGAGAAGAAATATGTCTTCATGTTCCCATCACAACCCTCTACATCAAAGTCTTATAATCAATTCATGAAGGCTGTGAAGAACGCATTAATTAACAGAAAATAATTGCAATGTGCATAAGGACTGTTATTTTCAAGATTTTGTCCATCAAGCCTAAATTTATAAAAGAAAAAAATAAACAAAATAAAATAAATACCAGATAAATTATCATCTCGTTTCTAGTCCCAGAAAATCAGTACATTAGCATTTCCTGCAAAACCCCAAAATTAGAAAATTAGTATATTAACATCGTACCACACCCCAAATTTCTAGTCAAGGGAATATTAATACAACCTCTGTAAAACATATTCAAAAAATACGAAAATAAAAAAAAATTACATACAATAAATATGAAAAAAAATAGATAATAATTAATAAACGAATTCGTAAAATTACAAAAGACATCTGAGATGGGGAATTTAAATACATAATTCAAATAAAATGAGGAAAAGGAAAATCCAAAAATTTGAAGCAAATGTTTACATGCAATAGATCTAGAAGCTACCTGATGTGATAAGAAATCGATTGAGATCAACCTTGAGGCCAGCCGTTGCCGGAATCGTCGAAATCATTGTCATCTGCCATTGTGACCCATTAGTCACGGAGGGAAGAGCGGGTGGAAAGAGAGAAAGGAAGGAGAAGAGCGGGGAGTCGAAGTCATAGTCGAGGATGAGCGGGAGGGAAGATAGATAAGGAAGAAGAAGAAAAAAAATAAAGTGTACATATATTTTCTGAGACAGTGGCAAAATAAGTAATAACACAAACTTGGCAAGGCCAAAACGGGAAGCACACTGAAATCCAATGCAAAACTGTGAATAATTCAAAATCATCTAATTGATAAATAGTGCAATTCAGCCTTTGCAAATGAGAAAAGAAAACGTTGGATTCATATTGTTTTTTTTTTTAAGACAGTTTGGCATTTATGTTGTAAATATGTGAATCATAATTGTTGATTATGTGCATATAGTTATGTCTACATGTGCGGCCATCTTTATTATGTAGCAACATCACTTACATACTTATATAGCTACAAGTTATCATTAGTTAGATTTGCCTGATCCTTCGAATTTCATTTTTATTTTATTTTTTTGTAAAATATCTCTAATAAAAAAATAATTTACACAGAAGAAATGAGCAGCTCTAGAAAATACCTACAAATATGTTGATCTCATTCCTTCTTACCTTTTTCATTACTATTTCAATCTTACCCTCATAAATTTAGAAAGAAAAAAAAAACATGCCTAACCACCCACCGTATTCACCAACATTTAATTCTTCGAATATATCTTTGTTTTTATTTATTAAAAGATCTTTAAAAAATGATTTACGCAAAAAATAGAGGTAACTTGAACATTTATTGTTAATCTTATAATAGTGGTATCATGTTGGGATTTTGAAGATAGGCGAACTAGAATATCAGTTTTGCTTCTTTTGAAAATAACTACTAAGGGCAATTGTGAAAAATACATGCAAGCATTTGAATCTCACTTTATCACAAGGAGCTTAACTGTGAGCATCTTGTCCCTTTATTCGGAAAAATAAAATATAAAAAATTCAATGGTATCTCTATTTTGACTCATTAAAGTAAAAATTATTGACATATTATTTTCCTCGCAAAAAGGTCTCTCATTTATGATTGTGTTTGTATGAATCACTCACTTGCAAGTTTACGATTGAGCAATATGATTATAACAGTTTAATGTAGTAACAGTTGCAAATGTTACACGATACACTTTGTTGATAGCTTATGTTACATAGTGATTTATTATTAGTTTGGTTAGAGCTTTCTTGAGCGTGCCAGAAATAGAATAAATAGTAGATAGAATTTATGGGTTTAAGCTTAATGATTTGTGAGATTTTATTCATAATACGTAAGTGTAACTACGCTGTAAAAGTGTAGCAGCATATTTGTGGAATTGACATGCATCAATTTTTTTAATCCTTATTAGCTAGGAGTCCTAATACTTTTTTGTAATTTGATAGAATAAAAGGCAATGAATCTAATTGATAAGTCAAAGTTTTCTTACTAGGTATGTGACACTTGATAGTCACGCTACATTATTGCATTGAAAATTCAATAACAGTGTAAAAATCAAAATTTGTAAAAGAAAAAGGTTAAGAAGTGTTGAATTGTCTTGAGGTCAATAAACAACGAGATGTGATCCTATTTTGATGGTTTTCTCATTTCAGCTCATGGACCTATGTTACACTGATCATTCATAATGTAACTTCAAGTACACCTCCACTTACCAAAATATGAACTTCATAATTATGAATTTTATAGATTTTAAGGCTCAATGCGATGTTGTTACTGTTGCGAGTTAGAGAATTGGAAATAACATGGTGGAAAGACAGTTTATTATGTTGGGATTGAGAACAGATATAAGGAGATGATATGACAAAAATGCTCTTTGAAAAGGGCACATTAAGAGTGTCTTTATACGAACAATATGACTAATTTAACATCTATTGCATTTTAGCACAAAATAAATGTTATGCTATTAAAATGAATAAAAAAAATCTAAATACACTCTAAATCACTTTTACCGTATATATCTCAAAATTATTTATCTTCTTCAACTCTCAAAACCAATCTCACCCTCCATTGCAAAACTGAACTCAAACCAATGAAACTACAAACATGTTGATTGAAAAAAAAAAAATTGGTGAATTGGATATGAATTCAATGCTTTAAAAGCTTCACGTGAAGTAAGACTTCATAGTTTTCATTGTTTTAGTGATTTCAACAACATTGGCATGCCTATAGCTGCATTGACACACCCCGACCAAGATCAAGGCATGCTGGCCGTCACGTGAGAGTGACGTAGCCATGTGCACAGTGCGGAAGCAATAATGATAGGAAATATACGAATAATTAAAAATCGAATTACTAGAGTGCACTACTCAACAGGAAGTGATAGGAGTTAGTTACAAAAGTAAACACTCCTAATCAGAGCATAATAAGTCTAGGTGCAGTCTAGTAGGACAAGTACTAGTTATACAGTACCAAGAATGTCCTACTATTATTTAGATAGGTCAGAAATGTCGACATCCTCAAGCCACCAACAACAATCTTACTTAAAACCTCGAGGGGCACAAAACAGAAAACGTGAGTGGGCAAAAACAAATGTTTTACAAAACAATTTCATTTATCAACATAACTAACCCTTCGCTGTAAAACATGTATAATTTTTCCCATAATCGAGATATAAGCATATACACAAATATATATATGCAATCATATCAATTCAATTCATGTTTCACATAATCATGTCCATATGTATGCCATGCCAATATATAACAGAGTAAGCAAATCAGGTAAGAATAATTTCATAGAAATATAACATGTGAGCTGGAACCCCTATGGTAGTCTGTACGGCTGAATTCATAGCTCAAAAGTTACTCTAGCCAGAGTCACTACTATGACATATACGACAATATACTGCACAAGAGTCGGAACCAAACAAAAAGGTCTATACAACAATAATGGGTGTAATACAATCATGCTCAACACTACTCTTACATAATAGTTGTATGATAATTCACTAGTTACTTACGAGTCGGAACCATAAATAAGGTCTGTATGACAAGATTGTGCACCTAAATTGGATCCAATATGAGCATATGGTGCGGGAGATGACATAATAAACAGGCATGTGCCATATCTATGGCTAAATCACAATCACCCTAAATGCAGTTTTATGAGCTCAACATTATTCAATCACTTATCGCATCATCGATGATTCACATAACCAAACACAACTTACCTGAGCTTACATGAGCGTCCACAGCACCACATTGACATATATAAAGCATCACATACCAAATCATGTATGAATTATAAACTTATATGCATGGCATTTATGGCATACTATTATTTAAACACATATTTCTGGGAAAATATCAAGTATATAAATATATACTGAAAACCAAAAGCCCACTCACTGGTAAGTCGAAGGGTCGTAGCCCCCGAGTCACCCTTGGATACGCTCGTCCTCGGGATAAGTCTCACCTATATGCGAATTAACTATAAAAACGTTATTTTAAAGTACATAGGCAAAATTAGCTAATAACTTTTCATACATAGCTCAAAATGGGTATATGAATATACCACAGTGACCTACACAACCTCAGGATCATCCCCAAATTTTCAGATTAATTTTTGGACCCTTCACGCGCCACCATGCGCCGGCGAGTGCACGGTAAGACGCGCCACCACACGCAGGGAATCCGTAGGATTCCCTAACTGCCGTTAGGAATTTTCCTCTGAATATTCCATTAAAACCCAACGGTAACCGTCCAAACTAACTGACAGCGTCAGAATATTCCATCAGACTTGACGGAATATTCTGTCGTCTCCTACCTCAGAACTCCGGCGACCGTAGCCGTCACCGAAAACTAGGAAAGACTTCTAACCGTCTATTCTCACTCATTTTTCAACCATTTTCTTCGAAATTTGAACCAAATGAAAGCTTAAAGTGAGAAGAATGGCGTTATACCTATTTGAAGCTTCAAATCTCATGAAATCACATTGGAGCAAGCTCGAAAATCCCGTGACCTCTGCAACTCTTCGTATCTAGGCTTCCCGACGTCCAAATTCTTCAAACGAACTACCCCGAGCCTCTTTGGGACCTCCAAAAGCTCTCTATGAGCTTAAAATTCCTTGAAACACAAGGTTTTACGTGCGCATGAACAGTGCACAAATTAAAGGTTAGGTTTCACGGGGTTTTCAAAGGTTTCAGGTTCTAAAACCTGTACCAATGGATTCCTAAGGTCACAAGGAACACGAAGATACTTACATTGGTTTCGATCTTCAAGATTTGAGGTGGTTTCTGGGTTGTCCTTACGAAAATGCCGAGAGGGAGATAGAGAGAGAAGGTAAGTGGGTATATGTGGTCCAAAAGCCACCAATCACAACTAAAAGAACACTTAGTTCTAATTGGGTCCAATAATAGAGGAATATAGCTAATTGGTCCACAATCTTAAGTCTAAACCACAACATCCCATAATACTTATCAACGTCCAAGGGTATTTAGGTAATTTTATGCCGTCGATAAATAAATAACACACATCTCTGGGACGGGCTGTGACATGCGTTATGAATGATATCCCTTGAAAAAATTATGGTTGGTGATGAGAATCACACATCTAACCACCCTTAGTCATATCTGATCACAAAAATCCGAAGATGTGAATAGCAGGGAGTGTAAAAAATAAATATAAAAACATAAATATGTATTTGCACCTAAGATGTGAAGAGTGGAGGTGTGAGGGTATTACGAGAAAGTATGTGGGGTTGGATTAAGATAAATTTTAATTTAAAAAAAAAAGTAAAATGGGAGTGTGTTAAGTTGTGAGGTGGGAATTCAATAATATGTGGTGTGCTAATAAAACAAGCATTTTCTATTTTGAAAATTAATATTGAAATTCTAAAGGTAATATTGAAATTCTAAAGGTAAAATGGGAGTGTGTTAAGTTGTAAGGGTTCGAGTCCCAGTAGAAACCTTTTTGGGCCTTTTTTGAACTACATTAATTTTTTCTTTTCTCTTTAATATTTGTAGTTTAATTTATTTTATTTTTTTGGTGAAGATATTTGTAGTTTAATTTCTATCATTATAAAATATAACTTTTTATGATAAATTTATGATTAGGAATATCATAATTAATTAAAATCCTTAAAAGTTTAAAGATAAAATGTCACATCCCGGCCTAGGCCCCCACCACATCCCGGGCTCGACTCTGCCATAGCACAATATTGTCCGCTTTGGACCCCGACCACACTTCTATCAGAGCCAATCCCCTGCTGGAAGTGTGCCGATGAGGACGTCGGACCCTAAGGGGGGTGGATTGTAAGATCCCACATTGCCCAGGGGTGAGGATCATGTAAGCCTTATATGTATATTCCTATCTTTACCTAGTATGAGGTCTTTTGGGAGCTCACTGGCTTCAGGTTCCGTAAGAACTTCGAAGTTAAGCGAGTTCGCACGAGAGCAATCCTAGGATGGGTGACCCACTGGGAAGTTCTCGTGTGAGTTCCCAGAAACAAAACCATGAAGGCGTGGTCGGGGCCCAAAGCGGACAATATCGTGCTACGGTGGAGTCGAGTCTGGGATGTGGTGGGGGCCCGGGGTGGGTTGTGACATAAAATCTTTAAAACCTCCATTTACCCACCGGGAAGTTCTCGTGTGAGTTCCAAAAACAAAACCGTGAGGGTGTGGTCGGAGCCCAAAGTCGACAATATCGTGCTACGATGGATTTGAGCCCGGGATGTGGTGGGGGCCCGGGTCGGGTTGTGGCATAAAATCTTTAATACCCCCATTTCCATATATGATATCATTTAATCGAATACATGTCATTCATTTATTCTTTGGTCAACTTTTAAGGATCGTCTAATTTTCATTCTATTTGAAAACCATTTAGTCATCCATATATATATATATATATATATATAATATATATATATATATATATATATATATATATATTAAATATAATACAACTTTGCTCACAACACTAAAGTGGAGGGCGTGGTCGAGACCCAAAGTCGACAATATCATGCTATGATGGAGTTGAGCCCGAGATGTGGTGGGGGCCCGGGTCGGGTTGTGACATAAAATCTTTAATACCCCCATTTCCATATATGATATCATTTAATCGAATACATGTCATTCATTTATTCTTTGGTCAACTTTTAAGGATCGTCTAATTTTCATTCTATTTGAAGACCATTTAGTCATCTATATATATATATATATATATATATATATATATATATTAAATATAATACAACTTTGCTCACAACACTAAAGTGGAGGTGAGCAGGTGATGCTCATCCCTTATTGATTACCGTTAAATTAATTTGGTTTAATTGATTTAATACACAAATCTTGAATTCTAACTAATCTAACGACAATCAACCGAGTGGGGGTTAGAATCATCCTCACTTTAGGGAGTGAGAAAAAATGCAATAAAAAAAACTAACAGTTCATTATAAGATGCGACAATATCATAACCAATGATCTGTTTAACTAGTTCATAATAAAGAGCATGAGTTGTTCTGATTATAATATATGTACGGTGATATGATATGCCACCACACCATGCTTTTTGTATTTAAAAAGTAAGGAGTTTCAAACTCAAAAACATAAGGAATGCATATACATAGCCACCAAACCATGCTTCTTTTTTATTTAATTTCTTTTGCGTTTATATCAATTTATACACACAAAAAAGATAAAATATAAAATATACAAGAAAATATAGCAACCAAAATTTAGACCTTGTAAGGGTCTCTGTTTGAGTCTTGCACATGGCCTCCAAAATCTTAGGACCGGCCTGGGTTTAACCATGTGGGGGTAGGATGGGCATAACGGGGTTAAACCTGCCAAAGAGGATTACATTTTGTAGTAATTTTGAGTTATTGTTCAAGTAAAGGTAATCACAACAATATTTGAAATCAGCTTTTTCAACCGTTACAATTTTGCAAAACAAAACAAAACATTGACATATTATTTTTCTTGCAAATAGATTCCTCATTTAAAATTCCATCATTATGTGTCATTGACAGTTGTTATTATAACTGTAAAAATTGTAAATATGGTACGATACACTTTGCCCGTAACTTTGTACAATATGTGCAAGTGACACGCAATTTACACTAGAGAAATAAACTCATATTAAAATGAATATATTTTTACAAAAGTGAAGATTTTTTTCTTGTTAATAAGATAATGTTACTAGGATTAACAACCAAATGAATGATAATGTTACTAGCATGATTTAAGATTATTCATTTACTTCAAATATTTAACTTTTCCTTTATAAAGAAATCCCTCATAAACCAATTAAAGCAATTGAATTCACATAATAAAATCGGTCTTTATAGAATTTACATTAAGAATAGAGAAAATAATATTTAATAAACAATTGATTGAATCACATTATTACTAGCTTATTGTGAGGCCAAGCCCACCCCTCCCTTAATGTAGATAAAAAAAAATCATTTGACAACTAATTTAATCACATTATTATTTGCGTGTAAAATACTTTTTTATAAACGGCATTACACGCATTTTAAGATATTTTGAACGTGTTTAAAAATAGAGAAAATAATATTTAATAAACAACTGATTGACTTACATTATTGCTAGTTCATTATGAGGCTAAGCCCACCCATCTCCCCCTTGGTGTAGATAATATGTTTTGTTAAAAAAAAAAATTATTTGACAGCTAATTTAATCACATTATTATCCGTGTGCGAAATACTTTTTTATAATCGGCATTACACGCATTTTAAGATGTTTTAAACGTGTTTTAAAATAGAGAAATTGAATCATATTATTGCTAACCTATTGTGAGGTATTAATTAAAAAAAACAGCACAAAAAAACTATGCCGCTAATTCAAACAAATTATACACTCCACTTTAATAAATGTTTCACATAAACTATAACAATTTTTCATAGTATCTCTGGATCCAAAAAGAATAGATAACTGTGACTTATCCCCAGTTATCGCATTTTTTACGAAAAAAATATAAATGAATCTTGAAAATACACATAAGGTTCTTTCTCGGAAGAGGATCCTCCTCGGATCCACTTTGTGAGGATCCTAGGATCCCTACATTATAACCGTTTATTGTACATAATACGGTCAATTTTCTTCAGATACGATTTACGTTTAATTTTAAATTAAAAAAATTAAATAATTTTTTATCGTACGATACACGATGAACGGTTAAAATGAAATCCAATTCCCACAAAGCGGATGGAATCCAATTCCTTCTTTCCCTGGCTAAAGTTAAGTAAATAAATAAAAAATCTAACAAAACAGCAGAAGCCATGGATGATGACTGGCACATGTCAAAGGCGTCAGACTCACAAATCCTGTCCGAAAAAAAAAACCATTTAAAAATCCACGGGTAGTGACTAATCAAAATCATTTAAATAACTTTAATAAACAAATAAACCCATTTATCTTTGTAGTTTTTCTGTTCCATGAATCAGAAGCTACCATGGCTTCGAATTCGATTCTTTGTTGCTCTTCCCATTTAAATCCCAGCCTATTCGTCGTCGTTTTCTGCTTATTCGTCCACTGCTATTCGTATGGCGAACAGGGGCCGTACAACAGCTTCACTGTCTCCAGCTTCAGCTACCCGCCAACCACAATTGGACCCTCTGGATTTCGATATATTAGAGGTGAACGATTAGCTTTTTGATAACCTTTGAAGCATTTGATTGATTGGTTCGGTCTTTATATTGCATGGAGAGGATTATGGGGGTGTAATATTTGATGGGGTCGTAATCAAAATGTTGAATTTTTCTTCTGTTGTTTTTCGTTGGAATTCTGTAAAGTACATCGACATAGGTTTTCTTGTTGTTGAATTATGCTATAATTCTAAGTTTTGACGATTTTGATTTGGTTTGGTCTGAAAGTTGCTAGCTTTATCTGTGATCATGTTTGAAAGTTCTTGACATGGGATTGGTTGATTCACAAGCAAGCAGATTTTCAGTATTTTGTATTTTATTTCGATTATCGTGTGTAATGAGTGATTTTTTTAAGATTGTAATTTTGATTTATATTCAGAATTGTATATCTAATGGTTAGTTATGCAATTCCTAACTGGTTTTGCTGTTTTGCCTTGTTCTAGTTGAAATGCCACCATGGTTCTCGTCGATAGCAATGAATTCGAACGTGGAACTTGTAAGTATGCTTACCAAGGTTCAAATTTTCCGCTTTTTCTTTTGTCAACAATGTCTTAGTAATTTGAGGTGGAAACTGGAAAGGTATACCTTGTACTTGCCCGAGAGCTGATTCCCAAATGAAAGTGGTTATCTGAATTTGTGATTGCTTTCCTTTCCATAAGAAACAAGCCTGTAAATCAAAACTATAGTTGAATACATTATGATTACTCTGCATCCTTGCTAATGATTCAAATTATTTTCAGGCTGCTGGAGACATAGAAAAGGTTCCTAAAGTTGAGTTACCATTGATTTGCTTCCGAGCTGGTAGCCTCCCACTGCCGTATGTTAACACTTCTCTAGTGAATTCAGGTATATGTCACTCAGCTTTAGATGAACTGACTAAATTGAAGTGTCGGTAAAATAATATTACTCCGTAGTCTCTAGCCACATGTGTACTTTGTGTTTCTGTTCTATCTGATGCTTTGTCCCCTGTAGTTTTACGTTTCTGATCAACATGCATGTCAAAAGTATTCCACAAGATTTTGACTTGACAGATACCTTAGGAGTGTCAGGACTGCCGAGTCTGCCTTGATTAGTTTCCTTCTCTTCGGATAAGCGTTAAGTATCCCCAACAAATCTGACTGCTGGGCCATTTTGTCAAAAGTGCTTTTCAACTATTACTTAACATGAATTTATCCGTGTGTGTGGTTAATCAAGGACAAGTACAACTGGTATACACAAGCAATTTGTTTCACGTTTTTTTGCATAAACACATTTAGTTTTTCAGTTGCCCTTATTTTATATTACTTTGAATTCTATTTGAACAATGATTCATCATAGCATTGAATGAATTTACTGATATAGCAGTTCTCGCTCCCCTCTACAATGGTTCCTATAAGGGAATACAAGCTCTTCAGAGTTCACAGCAGTGCTATCCTATGCAAAAGAATTTTACACTCAAGTTGACAAATGAGCAGGTCTATCATCAAACCTTTTACTTATTTTTGTACACTTTTGGAGAGGGAAAGTTTGCTTTGAGAATATTTTCATGTTTTTCTGAACAAAATTTTATATTCTATATACCAAAGAAAAGTTTATATACAGTGTCTAATGGAATTGTAATTCAGATTTCTCCAGGAGTTTGGTATTTCGGTCTTTTCAATGGAATTGGACCTACAAGGACACAATCAAAGATGGTATGTTCTATTATCATTTACATTTTATAGTTCTTGTGTTGATTTGCTCTGCTGTTTGGGAATGCTGTTATTCATGCACCTGAAACCATTAGTTCCCTGTTTACTGTATGCGATGAAGTTTTGTTGTTCATACCTCACTTCAAAACATACATATATATTTATATAAATTTCTTTTCCGTCGAAGGGTCTTAATGCACTAATAATGGATAACATTGCAGATTAATCGCGCCCCATCACACTAATAAGGGATAGTAGCCTCTTGAAGTTTACATTCATTTGAATTCTTAATTGAGGCTACTATGCTGACATTGCAGATTAATCGCGCCCCATCATACTCATTCAGTGCCAATATCACTGTGGAAGGATGTACGACCCTAACCATGTGGGGCCCAGACTGCAATCAGACAATTAACACACTTTCATGTGCTCAATCTAACAGTTACAGTGCTGCAGACAATTCTTCAGAAGCTGGTTTGTATAACCAAACAATTGAATATGTAATTTCATGTAAAAACAATTTTGGCACTTGTCATGGAGATGGTGAGCCCAAATTCTACTCTTTGGATGTAGTGGGAGTATCACACGAGTTGAAAATTTTGGCGAAGGATGTTTGGTTAAATGTAACATCTTCAGATAACACCAAGAATGTTAGTGATATTAATTTAATGTTTTATGCACGGCATGGTGCATTACCTACAGAAACTGTGCATGACTATTCCAGTAATATAAACAAATCCTCATTGGTCATTCAATTTCCAAAGGTCGGTCGCTGGTATGTTACTGTTTTACCTCTCAACGTTTCAAAAGAGCTTGAAGGGAGTCTGGATACTGACACAAAAGTTTGTTATTCCTTGGAATCAAAACTGCTTGAATGTCCGGAGGGCAAGGCCGGAGCAAATTGTACATGGGAAATGTACACCCTTCAGGTGGGCTTGCTGATAAATGTGTTTCTGCTTATGAAAGTTCTTGAAAGTATTAATTTCTTCAAAGTAGTAGATTATTTGTTTAATTTCCATATTGATATTGTTAATACTTGTATGCATTAGTGGTGAAGATTAAAACGTTAAGTATATATTTTGAAGTAAGTTTGCACTGACGGGTATAAGAAGGGCGTGCTAGCAGAATATTTTAAGAATTGACTTGTAGTGGCCTAAAAATGCAGAAACAATAGCGATTAAAGAAAGATTCTGAGATCAAGGTGGATGTACTTATTAGATGGATGTTCTTATTTTCTGTAGTATTTAATTTTATTCTTGATGCTTCAAGAAACTTATTGGCAGGAATAATTTTGTTGACAAGCTGAGAATGGTTGTCTGCAGACATCACTGAGGAAAGGTTCAAGCTACTTTGAATACTACTATTTACTCATCAGTGAAAAAGTACCTCCTGAGTCAGCCAATTTTCCTCTTGATCGTCTTTTAACCAACTCCTCGCATGGCGGACAACCAGAAGAAACATGGACTTACTTTGTGATGGACATTCCCCGTGGAGCAGCTGGAGGACATATGCACATTCGATTAAACTCTGATGACAAGGTTAACTATGAAGTATATGCTAGATACGGTGGATTACCATCTCTTGCTAGCTGGGACTATTTTTATTCGAACAGGACAAGCAGTAGCCATGGCTCCATGTTTTTTAACTTATATAATTCAAGTGAAGACAAGGTCGATTTTTACATTTTGTACATTAGAGAAGGAACTTGGGGTTTTGGTCTAAAGCATCTCATCACCACCAGTGATGCTTCGAAAGTTCCGACTATCATGTCTGTTTCCCTTGAAAGATGCCCGAGAAGGTGCTCTTCACATGGAAAATGCGAAACTGCGTTGGATGCTAGTGGATTGGCATCATACAGGTTTTTGTTTAATCCTTCCCCTTAGGATTTCTTATCTACTGTGTTCTTAAGTTTCCTTTTTTGGAACACCTATGTTTTAATTTCTTGATCAGGAAGATAGCTGACACCTTATTGCGATCAGTATAGTTTTCTAATTTTAATTTTTTTTATCAGCTTCTGCTCATGTGATCCAGATCATGGTGGCTTTGACTGTAGCATTGAACTTGTAACACCTCATGGTATGTGTTATTTCAGCGGTGAACTTATACAAAATTGTTCTCTATGCTGTTGGTCTTTTTTATTTCTGGAGTTCAAAATTTGCTAATTTAGTCTTTTTTATTGAATAAGGTTCGTTTGTCATGGAGCCGGTAATATAAATTTTCTTCCAGGAAGCAAATTGAAATAGAAAGTGTCAGGGAAAAATCTGCAAAAATTGAGTCTGCTAGTTTGAAGAAATAAAATGTAGATGATCAAATTGCATCATTTAATGAAAAAGATGTTTTTGGAAACAATATAAACTTGTCTAAGTACATACTGTATCTACTTAGTTTGGATGACATAGGCCCTGAATCTGATATAGTTAGTTTGAAGTGGTTTTCTACAAAGTTATTGTTTACGTTGCAAACTATCCAAGATTGATTATTATGCTCTACAGTTGTTCTCTTACTTATTTCCCTCATGAAAATTGGCATAGGGCACGTATGGCAATCCATTTTTCTTATTGCGTCAAATGCTGCAGCAGCACTTCCTGCATTTTGGGCCCTTCGACAGAAGGTAATCCTCTTATAACTTAACTTTGATTCACAATAACTAGACTTCTTCAAACATAATGTAATAATATATTACTAGTTGAAGTTTGCGACAGTACTCTCCGTAAGATTATCCTAAGTGGACACTAAACTGATGCCATGTTGGTTTGACTCAATTCTGAAATTTAGACAATTTTCATTATCCAACCGGAAACCTTTTTTTTGCTTTTAACAAGTTGATCATAAACTCCGCCTGTGTAAGTGGTCCCAAGCCCGGATAAAAGAGGAGGGGGAGTGTGTCAGGTAGTCGACAGCTGGCACTCCTATCTTACGTCGAATCCTTGGATGCGATCATACCAGCTCACATGCACCGGATTCCATCCAAACTCCGAAGTTAAACGAGTTTGGGCAAGAGTAGTACTAGGATGGGTGACCGCCTAGGAAGTCCTTATGTTGCATCCCCCCACAGCAGACCCCACCTGGTGGGAAAAGGCTTTGTTGTGTTGTGTTGTGTTGTGTTGTAACAAGTTGATCATAATATCTGTTTACAGGCATTGGCAGAGTGGGTGATATTTACATCTAGTGGAATTGCAAGCGGAATATATCATGCATGTGATGTGGGAACCTGGTGTCCTCTGGCTTTTGGTGTCTTACAGGTACACTTCTTTGTCTCTTTTCCTTAAAGAAATAACTAATGGTCGAAACTTTTGTTGCAATAAGGAATGAGAACGCGATATGCAAGTAGTGGCAAAAGCCTGGACCCATTTGAAGTTGACAAATCCGTGGTATCGCGTAACTAAGCAGTTATATACTGCATTAAATCTGTATGATGAATTAGTTATCTCGAATTTTCAGTTCATGGACGTCTGGCTTTCTTTCATGGCCGTAGGGAGCACATTTGTGTACCTAGGCACAGTTGAGGACGATCTTAAGAGAGCATTACACACAGCCGTTGCACTTCTTACTGCACTCATGGTTTATACTAAGGCCAGAAGGTATCTTGAGTTGATGGACACAGTTTCAGTGCATTTTAAATCTGGACTTGGTTTTTTAGTACTTGCGTCATGCATCTAACCATGTTGAAATTTGCAGGCCGGGGAATATTATTCTAGTTATAGTAATTGGAACCATTGCTCTTCTTATTGGGTGGCTGATAGAATTGTCAACCAAGTTTAGGTCATTTTCATTTTCGACCAGATTCTCCTTAAATATGCTTGAGAGGTGGGTATCCTTGGAACGGTACGATGTTATTTTAAGTTTGCAAACCCTATTTGAATATAATAGCCCTAGTAGATAAGTTGAGGGTAGCCCGTTAACTTTTGTGGTAACATATATATGTTGGAGTTTATATATATGCTTATCCATTCCATTTCCTTTTCTAAAATACCAACGGATTACGCAGACTCCAAGCTGTTAACGGATGGCTCAAGAATCTCATTAAGACAACTTTTAGAAGATTTCGCTGGGGTTTTATACTTGCAGGTTTAGTAGCATTAGCCATTGCAGCAAGTAGCTGGGTACTGGAAACCAATGAAAGCTACTGGATTTGGCACAGGTATAGTTATATCATGAAAATCTTCCTCCTCTCTCTCTCTCTCTCTCTCTCTCTCTCTCTCTCTCTCTCTCTCTCTCTCTCTCTCTCTCTCTCTCTCATGATTGGTGCATAAAATGATCTGCAGCATTTGGCACATGACAATATATACATCTTCCTTCTTCTTCCTATGCTCAAAAGAAAGTCCTGCAAGTACGGTAGATACTGAGAATCAGATACCACCGACTGGAGCCTATGAATTGACTCGACAAGATTCATTTTCAAGAGGTGAGTAACGAGAAGAGTAGTACGGGAAATTTTGCAGGGTTAAGGTTATAAGAAAAAGAGATTTTTTTTTTTTTTTTTTTTTTTTTTTTTTTACTGCCAAGAGAGAATGTTTTGGGAGATGGGAGGTTTGTGAATATCTTACTGGATAGATAGGAAGTATTATGAGTTGGAGAAAGATGAGAAAGTTATTGAAGGGCCTTGGTGGAAACTAAAGTAGGGACTGAGTGATTTCTAACCAAGTACAGACTGAGTAACGCTAAATCAACTGGTCATGTACCCTTTGTAATTGTAATCATAATATGTTCGTATATCTAATAAGGAATACACTCATGTCGAATGCAGTATACTCCCAGAACAATTAACATACAGATAAAATTTCGACAGACCAAAATACAATATTGTTCCCCTCCTCCAGATCCGTTCTTCAAGAAATTACTTGGCTTTCCTACTCAAATTGTGCATGCACATTTACTGTGTAGTTCTTTTTTACAAAACGCAACGCTCTTCGTGTTCTATCTCCGATAAAACCATATTATCTTCACATTCCATGGGAGCCCGAAGATCGTTATTTTGCCACTCTTCTCATGCTCAAGTACTACGGCTAGAAAATGAACAGAAGTCTGAAGCTAGTACCTCTTTGTAATCCTTACGGATGCTCCAGAGGATCTCCGCGCACCTCCTCATGCTAGGCCGGTTCTGTCTGCGTGGAGCCAAGCATTGTAACGCTAGTTCAAGAATCTTTTCGATGGCTAGATTACTTGCTGCTGTCCGTTCTAACCTCGGGTCCAAAATCGAAAGAGCATCTCCATTGGTAAACTTCTTCATAGCCTGCAAAACCAACCCAAGTCATGCACTAAATTCCCATGTAAACTAGCTCAAGAGAGGAGAAGTTCTTACCCATTTTGCAGTTATTCGTTCCTTGGTTTCCCGTTTAGGTTCAATCGGACGCCTGCCTGTAACTAGCTCAACCAGGAGCACACCAAATGAGTAGACATCACTCTTCTCCGTGAGTTGATAGGTTCTCAGGTACTCAGGGTCCAAGTAGCCAGCGGTTCCTTTAACTTGAGTAGAAACATGGGTGGCACCTGAGTCGCTATCAGCAGCAAGCCTAGCAAAACCAAAATCAGCTACCTTGGCCCTGAAGTTTTCCGTTAAGAGAATGTTGGACGACTTTATGTCTCTATGAATAATCGGATGATCTGCCAAGGAAGCCGAAGCATGGTCTGGTTAGTTCCGTCACAAAAATTCTACAACTCTCAGAGAACTAAAACTGGAGATTTACCTGTGTACATATGCAGATAGGTGACGGCATGAGCCACTTCAATTGCAATGTCCAGCCGCGCTGCAAGGTCAAGAATCTCACCATGCAAACCTGCATTACGCCTTGTATCACATCTCAGGCACTCAAGGTGATGCATTGAGGAGCCAAGGTGCACAGATACACGCTCATTCGAGCTCACATGCACACACAGCACACAGAAAGGAAGAGAGCAAAAGAGAGAGTAACACAAATAGAACTTACAATCCAAATGTTGCCTGAGGGTTCCATTAGGAACATACTCGACAACAACAATCTTTTCATCTTCATGCTCCAAGTACCCGTAGAACTTGACCAAACTCAAATGCTCCACCTGCGCCAGCATTTGAATCTCGCTTCGGAATTCCACTCCCAAATGCTTGTCATACACTCTGCAAACAAAAATACCCACGTCCTCAGTTAATACTATATCGCACCGCGGTTTTAGCCCTATAACACACTTGTACCGGACCTTTTTAGCGCGTTTGACTGCAACAAAGGTCCCGTCTTCGAGTCTCCCCTTATAAACCGTCCCAAAACCACCTTGTCCAATCTTGCAAGAGGGAGAGAAGCTCTTTGTGGCCTTGTTTATCTCTTCCATGGTGAACTTTACACTCCCGGGCTCACTCTCATGCCTTGAGTTATTGGGATTGGAGTAGATGCCTCGATTTGAACTGCATCTTCTCTCTCTCCCATCTCTCGAAGCATCCGAAAATACTACAAAATCAACTTAGTTGATCAGTCTACCTCATTAAACAGACAAACTAATTTGTTTTAATCATTTTTTCTCTTCTTAAAAATATGAATAAAAAATAACAGAGAAGAAAACAAATGGCAGCCATTAGATACATTATACAAACTTTTCGTTGGTTTTCCTAAGGATTAAATAAAAAAAGTCGGAAAATTTATTCATAACCGCGGGTTGCTTCTGTAATGGCTAAAAGTGTTTTCCACAACAAAAGTTGCTTCTAACGACGTTTAGTTTAGTAGAAATCTTAAAAGTACTTGTGGATCGTAAAAACGCTTAGCTCTTCCGAAGAGCACTGGGGTTTTCAAAAAGAATTTCTAACATGTTTATAAGAAAAGAAGTACAAGTAAGTTCTAACATGTTTACATGAATTTCTAAAATTCCATCTCTACGAAATATCTCTACAGTTTTTACCAGACTCAGCTTAAATTCTTGAAAAGAAAAAGTTACGGAAATGGAATTACCGGAGGGAGCTCTGAACTCTTCAGAACCCGCGAAGCTTACGGAGCTCTTGGTCTCCGGCGGAGTGAAGCACGAGACGAAGGCTCCGGCGACGGAGCGGGCGGCAACAGCGACCACGCTCCGGCCAGAGCTGGATTTCGGTCCGGTTGAGGAGTCGGAGTAGGACGAGCTAGGAGAGTAGGGGATCCGGTCCGGGGTGCTCCGCGGGTCGGACGTAAGGCTACGGCGTCGGTACGATGGGGTTCGCCTCATTTCAGAGAAAGAGAGAGGGTACCGGAGAGATGGGACGTAGACGTAGAAATGGCGGGTAGTTGTAAGCTGTGGAAAGTTAAGAGAGAGAGAGAGAGAGAGAGAGAGAGAGAGAGAGGAGAGAAGACTTTGATTTTTCAAAAGATGAGCGAGGCTAACGTGCGCCGTTGTAGTCCAGGACTCAAGCGTGTCAAAGAGTAGGACCAGGTGCAAAATAGTTGGGTTTCATTTTCGGTGCAAGATTTTCAATTAAAATCTTTTTATCACTCTACTCTAAAAATGTAAAAACTATGAGAAAGATTCGTAGTTCAAGTAATCAAACATGTATTATCTTTGCTTGAGATTTTATCTTCGATTTCTTTCGTCTATTATCGCTTGATAAGTTAATTGAAAACGACATTAGATATAACATTTCAACTTTTTTTAGTTTAATGTCATTTTTAATAAGTTATTCAATGCGTTTATTTTCACTTTATTTTAAAATTTTGATCTTCCTAACATTATCTTTTTACTTTATAGAGACACGAGATTGATTGTAACTTTTATATTTGTTGGTTGGTTGTAACTTTTATGACTTCTCTTATCTCTAAATTCAAAAGGTTAGGGACTTTTTCCTAAAAGAAATTATATTTGTTGGTTGGTTGTAACTTTTATGACTTCTCTTAATCCATCTATGATCATTCTGGTATTTATGTAAGCGAAAAACGAACATAATGAACAATGAGTGTTACGTCTTATAACAAATATTATCTTCGTTTTTAAATTGACAGAATGACCCATTGTGTTTGATTTGCATCTTATTGTTTATTTATCAAAGGGCATTGTTATTGGCACTCCAAAAATCTCATTCTACACTTCAAATTTTCTATATTTGGAAAGAAAAATACACTTGTGAGGAATGTAGAATGAGATTTTTAGAGTGATAATAACACTTCCCTTATCAAATTACAAACAATGAAAAAACCGTCACCAACTCCATACTAAAAATGTGCAAGTGAAATTAACCTTGTGTTTTGAATATTTTCCTATTAATATCCATTTCTTTATCACAAGATTTTAATAAGATTTCGTCGACTTTTTGGTTTCAGTTTGAAGAAGTGAATGTGAAAACATTGGACCGACAGATCCTACCCTTTGTAACATGTCTAAGAAACATGCCCTGCCGTGTTCTTTTGGTAGCTCAAACATGCCTGTCTCCATTCTTTAGCGTGAGTGACATGTATAATTTGTGCACACCTCCTACCAAACAAAATTGCAACACCATAATTGATGTGATGTAAAAAAAGTTGAGATTAAACCATAAAATCAATTGATAATTATAGGAAGTACTTCAACTACTTATAAGCATATTTAAGGTTCTTTCTCTCATCGATGTGAGATTCATTCTCAACAATGCCTCTCACGTGTAGCGAATTTTCAAGCCTAATATATGGGCAACACAATTCGGGTGATGTGGAGCACGTGTAGCCGTTAGGTTTCGCACGTAGGACAACATGCTTTGATACCATGGAGAAAGTTGAGGTTCTACCATAAAACCAATTGGCAATACAAGGAATAGCCCAACAACTTATAAGCACATACGACATTTGTAATCACATTTATAATACACAATATGTATAGCAAACAAAATCAAGTAATGTTGCAATTTTGATGCAAGATTACTAACACTTTGATTAGAAGTTAATCGACTATGGCAATCCAACAACTCCTAGAGTGCAGTCTCCAGTTTGTTAGAATATTGACATAATTTCAAGGAACCCCTCCCAATTATCGACATCTCTTATATTAGGAAGGATGTTTAATCAGAATTATAATTTATCTGTTCTGATAATATAGGTGATAGCAAAAATGAAGTAAATTAAGAAAAAGATTATATATGGTAAGGGGATTTTCTTTGTATGGATGAAATGATGTGACCCAACAACAATAAGAGAAAAATGATAGGGATATTTATTCCGCAAATGATCATTTATTCTAGTGGCTGAAACCAATCATGCTTATGCATACAATTAACGTTATCGTTTTTACAAGTAACATTTTAACTCACTAACTCTATCGTTTGTCTATAATTTTTTATTGTGCCGATCTCATGTGTTTCAGAATTATATTGAACTTAGCTAAATTACATTCATAGTCCTTGTAGTTTGGATTTTGAATTTCGTCCTTGTAATTTTAATCTTTGCTTTTCAAGCCAATTCAATTGGCTTAGTAGATATGGTAGAGTAACTTTAAACCTTCTACTTGGTTTCCTGCCTTTCTTATAGTGTCTTGGCATGTAACTCAAAGAGATTCATTGGACGTGCCAAAATTATGTTGGTGTCACAATTTCCTTGATGGGGTTGGTACTCTTTGTTAGAAATGCATTTGAAAGCCTTGAGTAGGCATCGAGCTCTTTCAAATGAGTTATAGCTTGTTTGGATGCGATTTTCAAATGATTGAAAGCATTTTAATAAAAATATTTTTGAAAGCAATCCTTAGTAAAAATACTAGTAAATCCTAAAAAAAAACACTTAAAGATAAAGTGTTTCCTAGAAAAAGTACATAACTGATGCTTCTTGTAGAAAGCACTTCAAGTGCTTTTGGAACCCAATAACATTTTCTCTAAAAGCGCTTTCAATCATTTTAAAAACACATCCGAACGAGCCTTTATTTGTTACTGTTAGGTGTGCCACTCTTAGCTAAGACCAAAAGGATTTAAATGATGTTATTGTTATATTGTAGACTGGCGCCACAAGTAGACTGAGCTTCTATCAAGAGACTGCCACAAGGGGATTAAAATACATGTTAAGTCTTTTCTATGCCTTGTTATGTAAAGGACCTCAAATATTTTTTTGAGTATGCCAAGTGATAACCATAAACTGATTGGATTTTGGTTCAACTCAGTTTGCAATTCTCATATAAATATAACCGCATAATGTATGACAAACTATATGAAATTGCAAAGATAGGAAGGAAATGAAGTTAAACACTTACCAAATATTCAACAAGAAGTAATAACTTGATAGGAAATGAGAAATACAAGCAATCAGGCAAAGTTTAAACCTATTCAGGCAAGTTCTATTGCTAGTCAGGCAAGCTCTTGCTAGCAACTGAAGTGCTTTGAAATAAAGTTTTAATACAAGAATCAATATTACAAACAATGTACCAGAGCTTCAACCGTAAATACAATTGCAAAGGTGTCGAATTACAAAAGGAATTTAGGAAAGGTAGGCTGCATAGCTTTGAAGTCTTTTTGTGTTGTGAGTTGAATGTCCCTTGTCTTCTGCTTTTATGCTGCCTTTCATATAACAGGCCTTTCTTCCAGTTTAAGCTTTTTCCTCTCAGATTAATCCTGTCTGCCCCCAGTTGTTGATGTGACTGTTGCCAGAGAATAAAGAATTCACATTGCAACTTCGAGCTTTTATCCTCTCAACAGCAGTCAACAACAGCTAGTTGTGAACTGAATAGTGCTGACCTGAAACGTGCATCGATCAACAAATTCACTTTCTGTTATATGTTCTTTCGTATTATAGTAAATACTCGAGGATACATAGATATTATTTTAGTGCCTCGTTACAGGAAACAATTTTGGTGATGAAAAACAACAGCAGCAAGCTCACATTAGTTTGATCGCATCGGTTTTACATGGCTGAATTTGCAAGTTGATTCTTAGGCAAAGTGTATAGATACAAGTGATGTTTTACGCTAATATATATTTATATAAACTACGAGGAGGATCATTCAAACTTGGGTGCAAGAGGGGGAGCACATTAGTCTAACCAACTTGACTAAGCCGAGTACTGCAAGGACACTAAATGGAAAAGAAAGATAAGATTTCATGGGTCTTCATTTTCTTTTGTTATCTCGCACACAAATGCACAAGGAAGCAATTCTTACCAGATTTCAAAACTAAAGAGGTGAAGCACTGAGAAGAAGACAATAATTGGTCTCTGGCACAGAAACGCACTAGGAAACTTGGGATTGAAATCAACAATAAGAACTTGGGTGTTTAAGACTGACAGGATTGAATTACTAATTAAAAGACTAGATAGGGAAGAAATGCCAGAATCGTTATGAGAGACACAGTTTTTGGTAGTAATATTCTCGAAAAAGACGCATAATATATAGATACATAACTAACGTATCTAAGAACTAATAGCAGGTGAGATTTTAATGAGACATGAAGATTTATTTAATAAATGTAAAATACTCGGGAGATCCTTACCTCACAAGAAACCATGAGAGCTGATCACCATCAGAGTGGAGCTACCAATCATTTAAGTGCTCAATTTTGAAAGCTGAGCTCCAGACCGAATAGGGCAGTCAAGGGCAGATTCATCCAGAACATTGTCAAACCATCGCATCAGACGTATAACTTTTCTCCTTCATAAACCTGAGCAGCATCCCTAGCATGGAATACACCTCTGGTGCTTGCGGGTGGGATTCATCACCAGAAACAAATGTATGAATGTCACCCCCAGTCTCCACCCAGCTACAACCTGGAGCTTTATGATCACAACTGTTCTTCATCATTTGGCGTACTCTTGCTACATCATCCCAATGACCTTCAGAAGAATAGATGTTAGACATGAGAGTATAATTTACAGGCTTGTTTGGCTCCAATGCAAAAAGCTTTTCTGCAGCCCATTTTGCTAATCCTACGTTTCCATGGACTTTACATGCCCCTATGAATGCTCCCAAGGTGCTTGGATCAGCTTCGGTGGGAATCGATGTCAAAGCCGTGAAAGCCTCTTCTACAAGACCAGCTCGCCCTAGAAGGTCAATTAGACAGGTATAGTGTTCTGAATCTGGAATAATCTGATAGTCATTGGTCATTAATCTAAAGTAGTGAAGCCCTTTCTTTACCAACCCTCCATGGCTACATGCAGAAAGAACCGCAAGAAAAGCAATGTGGTCTGGCCTTGTACCGTAAGTTAGCATTTTCTCAAAAACCTCTGTAGCTTCTTTGGAAAGACCATGGAATGCATATGCGCATATAACTGACGTCCAAGTAACTTGATCGGGCTCAACAACCAAGTTGAAACACTTAGACGCACTAGACATACTACCACATTTGGAGTATGCACTTATCAGAGCATTAGCAATTGATGAAAAGAAATCAAACCCAAATTTAACCATGTAAGCATGAATTTTCATAAGTTCAGTAGTAGATGACACATTACCACATGAGCTAACAATGCTTGCCAGAGTTAATTCATCAGGATAAAAGTGTTCCTGCAACATTTCCCGGAGTAGTTTAATAGCCTCCTTCTCTTTTCCATGTAGTCCATATCCCACAATTATAGTGGTCCAAGAAATGACATTCTTGATGGGCATTGCATCAAAAACCTTCCAAGCATCACCTATGCTATCATTCTTTGCATACATGTCAACAAGTGCGCTGGAAACTAGAACATCTGAATCAAAAGCCTGTCTAATGATAATGCCATGAACCTGCCTTCCCGGCTCACAAGATCCAAATCTACGGCATGAACTGAGCAGACTGCTAAATGTAAACTGATCCCCCTGAACACCTTCCAGTCTCATCAAATTGAATACCCTAAAAGCCCCTACAGCCAAAGAACTTGAAGCATAGCAATTCACCATCACGTTCCACAAAACCAAATCCCTGCACAATAGAAATCGAAAGCATGCCTTGCATCTTCAACTAGACCATATTTTGCATAAAAATCAACAAGAGCACTGCCCACAAAGCAGTTTGAATCAAATCCTAATTTCACCAAAAAACAATGCAATTGCCTACCAATCTCAACACCATTTAACTCAATGCAAGCACGAAACAAACCATTAATTGTTATATCATCCGGACTAACTGCTTCTAACAACATCCTTCTAAAATAATAAAACCCCAAATACAAATTCGGTTTATACTCACTCCCACAGTTGACAAGCCCATAAATCAAGGTATTCCAAGCAACCACATTTCTCACAGGCATTTCACCAAACAGCTTCTGTGCATCATTGAATTCCTTGCACTTGACGTATAGATTCAGGACATGAATTTGCAGCGACTGCAGGTTATGCAAACCCAACTTTACCACATGTCCATGGAATTGTTTTCCCTCGGGAAGAAAACCCATTTTGGCTGAAACTTTGAGGGCGTTTGAGCAGAAGGAATGGGCGGATTCGAGTACCGGCGTGAAGGCACTGCGTGGACTCGGAGGGAAAGACGAGTTGGTTTGATGAAATGGGTGAGCATGATTTGGGGCGTCTGTATTGGTTTGAAACGAAGCAGGAGGAGGGGTTGGCGGGAAACGTAACGGTCGTTTGAAGTGGACGGTGGGGATTGAAGATGAGCGGCATCTGGAGAGCATAGCATAATAGTTGGCTTCTTTTGACGCCTTTTTGATCCAAATAGCAGCGGCAAAGTTGAGGCCTTTCGATGGAGAAATTCTAGGTTCCGACAGTAGTGTTCGTGCGGATTCTAGACACCACTGTTCTAAAAATCCCCACCTAGCGCCACCTAGGCGCTAGGCCCTAGCCCACCGCCCTGATTAATGTCTAGGCCCCAGCCCACCGCCTAGACCACTTAGGCACCCGCCTAGCCCGCCTAGACCACTTAGGCACCCGCCTAGCCCGCCTAGGCACCCGCCTAGGTTGCAACTCACTTAGACAGAAAATATATAACTTTCATTTTGCATTTTGTTTTTTTCCAATAAATTGTATGAGACTTGTTGCATACTTGAATGAACATACATTATATCCTTATTTCACATGTTTTCATTATGTTCCAATACTTCATGATATATATGCATTCTATTTTGTAGTTTATGATGAAATTATATATATTTCAAGTAGAAGCAGACACTTATTTACCTGAAATATGATAGATTTACTTAAATCCGCCTAGTCCGTCTAGGCTCCCGCCTAGCCGCCTAGGCGCTAGGCCCCAGCCCGCCGCCCGACTAGCGCCTAGCGATTTTTAAAACCTTGCTAGACACACATAAATAAAAAAAACAAAAACTCCTACCTCATTGTCGTTGTTTTTCTCATGTTTATCGAACTCAGATTCTCTTCGAATCTAAAAAATATGAGCTTAAGGATCAAATGATCCAGACCGTTGAAATTTGATTCAACGGCGACAATTATTATAATTTTTAGAGGGGCTCCGCTCCCTGTTTTTAGTCGTTAGATCAAATTTTAATTGTCTGGATCATTTGATCCTTAAAGCTCATATTTTTTAGATCGTTCATGTTTATCCATCCCATTTTGTGTTTCAGCCCCTCACACCACTCCATGTCTAAAATATCGATGATATCAGAAATATCAGTAGTCCAAAAACACGAAAATTTAGATGGAAATATAGCGATATTATCGATATCGATAAAAATTGAATAAAAACCACGAAAATTGTCAGAAAAACTTGGAAATTTTTATTGAAACTTTGCAGGATGTTTATTTAGTCAATTATCTATTAGTTTATCACAAACAAATTGGAAGGAAATGCATTGCATAGTGGATTTAACTGATTTAAGTTAATTATATAGCGAGCTAGCAAACATTGTAAGTGTAGAAAATATGTAGTAATTAATGAAAGAAATTTAAACACACCTGTTTGGACCCAATTTTACACCATCGGCCCAAGCGATCGAGGCCGTTAAGTGAGCATGGTTCCCGACCATTGGATGGAGAAGTGAGGATAATTTTGTTATTAAAGGATAATGTTATGGTTTTTTATCATAATATTTATTTTTTTAATAATGGTTTATCTCGACATTTTCTTATGAAAATAATTATCTCCAAACAAGCAATATAGTTCGAATAGGCTTGGAATTCTTGTTATCAGATTGGAGTAGCGTGATGGGTGTGACTAGAATTGTCGAGGTGTATGGTCTTCTTCTATGCGCGGGATAATACCAAGAAGAAATCCTTGATAACCTCCAAAAATAATGGAGCCACACGTATCCTAGATTGACATAGTTGTTGGCATAAGAATTATACGCTAATAATTAGCATAGTCTTCAGGGGATAAACACGCATGCATTGATGGTTTGATTCCATCAAATCCTACGGCCAAGATGATGTGGAGATTTTGATGCAAATTGATGGTTTGATTCCATCAAATCCTACAGCCAAAGATGTGGAGATTTTGAATAAAGCACGGTTTGATTTGGTTGGATAACCGCATACAATTATGATGGTTCTGATCCCATCAAATTGGTATTGACCTAATTTAAGATAAGGACTAGTGGGAGATTAATCTGCACAAGTCATGCCAAAGGTCAAATACAATTCTTTGGAGATCAAGCCACGTCAAGCATGCATGTCTCTATAAATAAGAGTGATTGTGCAACGTTCAAAGCTCCTCCAGTTCAACACACAACTGCCATGCACAAATTCTCTCAACAACATTGAGATTTTTATTTTCTCTTTTCGCTGACACATCTTCCGTTGGCATCAACAGCACTGTGAAAGCAACCGGTGATATCTTAAGTCGGCATAGATAGCTCTGTCGCCGTAGAATCAGCCGATCTCGCAGCATCTTCCGTTGGCATCAACAGCACTGCAGCGAGGATGGTTGGTTACCTATCCAAGTCTCGGTCGAGAAGGATTTTCGAATCCTTATTGGTCGAGGTCATCTCATCAGCCTTCTCGGCGAAATGAGGTGTTACGAGTTACTACATTCGGCACATTGGAAGTCGAATTGGATATTGAACTTCGCTAAGTTAGCAGCCTTGTCTTCAGGCTCTAGAACCCGAAGGCCGAGACGTGTTCCTTCCTCAGCCACAATCGTAAGATCAAGAAGTCAGCAGCGCACCCAACGCAACATCAACAAATTTACTCCTCGGCCGAGCTCGGCCGACGAGTTGGCACGCCCCGCATTCACCGAATGACGTAGTTAGCTTATAGATTACTCGGCCTGCGCACCACGTAGGCTTGGTAGTTTTTAGGGCCAACAACACCATAATCATTTATATATAATGAATTAGTACAATATTTTACATTTTATACATTGCATGGTAAGATACATGAGTGACTTAGTACCACATAGAGTTCCTATCAAGGTCTAAAATATCGATGATATCTAAAATATCGATGATATCGGAAATATCGGTAGTCCATAAACACGGAAATTTCGATGGAAATATCAAGATAATATCGATATTTTAGACCTTACACCACCAATAGGTGCTGCACTCAAGATCTTCTCTTTTCTATAAAATTCCTCTTTCTCACATACACAAATTTCTCTTATTTTTTGTTAGTCCAGTTCTACTCGGGACGATTTGAAAAATTCATGTTGGACAACTTAACAAATCTGACCATGTGACAGTCTTAAAGATTCACTCTAATAATAGATTAAAAATAAGATATATTCATTAATTTCCCCCTTGAACTTGTGACTATTGGCCAATTTCCCCCCTCAACTTTAATTTTGGCCAATTTCCCCCCTCAACTCTCATAATTAGTCAATTTCCCCCCTCAACTTTAATTTGGCCAATTTCCCCCCTCAACTCTCATAATTAGTCAATTTCCCCCCTCAACTTTAATTTGGCCAATTTCCCCCCTCAACTCTCATAATTAGTCAATTTGCACCATACTGTTAATTTTTTTAATATGATCATAATTAAACAAGTGTGTGTAAGAAACTAAATAAGATGTATGTTAATCATTTTCCTATGTCTTTATCCTATTACAAGTAGATTAAAATTTAGAATTTTACAATTTATCATAATAAATCAGTATGGAGTAATTTTATTTGATTTTTTACTATATAAAATTGATAACGAAAACGATTGATGTGTACATTTTTGTATGTGAATACAATTTTCTTTATAAAAGTGAAAGTTAAGTTCAAGTAAATTGCGAAGAATCGAACTTTAGTGCAAAAATGGCTAGTCAATTCATAATTTTCGACTCCTTATTAAGAATAACTCATTTTATTGAAATAGGTCTGATTCATGAGTTTAGGATTATTATTTCTTCTTCTACATGCTTTAAACCCGATTCATAACTTCTTATAATCAACCCATATCACATACTAATTGTATTATGTTTTTGTACATTTTACCCTATATTATGCAGGTGAGTTTATGTTAATTTTAGTACTTTGTTGGAAGTTATTAGAAAGATTGAAAAAAAAAGAAAAAAAGAATAGATGGAAAATTAAAAAAAAATTAACAGTAGGGTGCAAATTGACTAATTATGAGAGTTGAGGAGGGAAATTGGCCAAATTAAAGTTGAGGGGGAAAATTGACTAATTATGAGAGCTGGGGGGGGGGAAATTGGCCAAAATTAAAATTGAGGGGGGAAATTGGCCAATGGTCACAAGTTCAGGAGGGGAATTGATGAATACCTCTAAAAATAATAATATTACTGTAAGCAAATTATGTAATAACAAAAAATATTAGAACCCTCTTTGTTAATTAAACAAGGGTTAAAATGTCATTATAACTGTATCAACAAAACTAAAGAAAAATAACCAAAACAAAAGTTTTGGGTAACTTAGGAAATTACATACAAAATAATTATTTTACTTTTTTTCGTTCTCTCCCTCCCAACCATGTAAACCATATCCGTTTCCTCCTACCTTCCTCTCTCATCCACGTTTTTCATCCAAATAAAATTAACCTTTAATGGCGAAATAGTTACATAGAAACAGTTGTTAAAGATATGAGTAACTTCTACAGCGAATAAAAACCATTTGAATATCATTACCAACAAGTTTTAGTGACCAAAACTATTTATATTTTCTCTCTTCCTGTAATTTTACTAACCTGAATGAATACAATTGTTAGTTGTTATTATTAGGATTAGGATTAGGATTCGGATTAGGATTGGGTGATAGATTTATGGTTCAGCTACTTTGAAGGTAAAGTCAAGACTTTGTTTTGGTAGAGATTATGTATAAATGGTACGTTTAGGCTTGGTAAGGAGATGCTATAAATAAACATGTAGAGGCAATGACACGCCCAAATATGTTTAACTTATGTATTGTCATCTCGATGTGCACATTTAGACATCCGAAAAAAATAAAAAAACATCGACAAAACAATGAAAGAAAATAATTCATTGTATTTATACACATGAAAAGATAGGAAAAAAGTCATTTTCCATGCTTTAGTACACGAAAGATTTGTCATGTCAAATTTCAATTGCTTGCGTTTCAAACAATAACTCATCTCTTGTTTTGCCTCCATGTTATTGGATTGTTTATACATGTTCTTGTTTTATTTAGGAACACTTTGGATGTGGTCCTTAACTACCAATGTTCTTTGACTAAAATCTTTGTGGTTTTTAGTTTTTTATCGAAGTTCTCAACATTAATGTAATAATGTATTTCTATGTAGGTTATTATATTTTTAAATTAAAAATGAAATTTGTAGATATTTATATTAATGAGATTTTAAATAAAACCCATAATTTATGGGATTAAAAAATTAAAAATGACTTATACTAACACACCCTGACCGAGATCAAGGCATGTTGGCCGTCACATGAGGGTGACGTAACCATGTGCACAGTGCGGAAGCGATAAAGATAAGGGTTATACGAATAAATAAAAACCGAAAGCTACTAATGTGCACTAATAAACAGTAAGTGCTAGGAGTAAGATACAAAAGTAAATACTCCTAATCAGAGCATAGAAAGCCTAGGTGCAGTCTAGTAGGACGAGTACTAATTATACAGTACCTTAAGATGTCCTACAATTATTTTATTATGTCAGAACCGCCGAAGTCCTCAAGGCCACCAACAGCAAGCTTACCTAAAACTTAAAGGGGTGCAAAACAGAAAATGTGAGTGGGCAAAAACAAATGTTTTACAAAACCATTTCATTTATCAACAGTTCTAACCTCTCACCGTAAAACATGTATACTTTTCCCAGAAATAGAATATAGCATATGCGTAAATATATATTTAAATATATCAATTCAAATCATGCTTCACATATTCATAACAATAAGTATGTCATGCCAAGATATAACATAGTAAGTAATTCAGGTGAGAATATTTTCATGGAAATATAACATATTAGCTGGAACCCCTGAGGAAGTCTGTACGGCTGAAATCATAACACAATAGTCCATCTAGCCGGAGTCACTACAATAACCTATACGGCACTATACTGCACAAAAGTCGAAACTAATAAAAATGTCTATATGACAATGCTGGGTGTAATATAATTATGCTCAATACTACCCTCTCATAATAGTTGGGCGATAAATCGCTAGTCACCTACGAGTCGGAACCACCTATGATGGTCTGTACGACAGAACTGTACACCTAAATTGGATCCAATGTGAGCATATGGTGCAGGAGGTGACATCAATAACAGGCATGTGCCATATATCTTTGGCTAAATCACAATCATCCTATGTGCAGTTTTATGAGCTCAACATTATTCAATCACATGCCATTAATCATTAATTCTCATAACAAAACATAACTCACCTGGTACTTACCTGAGCGTCCACAGCACCACAATCATATATATATATATATATGCATCATATACTAATTTATATACGAAATATAACTTTATATGCATGGCATTCAAGGCATACTTTCATTTAAACACATTTTATGGGAAATATCAAGCATATAAATATATATTGAAAACCAAAAGCCCACTCACTGGTATGTCGAAGGTTCGTAGCCCCCGAGTCGCCCTTGACTGTGCTTGTTCTCAGGATAAGTCTCACTTATATGCGAATTAACTGAATAAACGTTATTTAAAGCACATAGACAAAACTAGCTAATAACTTCTCATACAATGCTTAAATGCGGTGTTTGAATATACCAATGTGATCTACACAACTCCATGAACATCCCTATAGTTTTAGAAAAATTTTCCGACCACCCACGCACCGCCACGCACCGGCCAAGGCACAGCCAGACGCGCCACCCAAGCGCGGGCACATGCCTATCACACCAACGGCAACAGTGACGCAATTAGGAATATTTCGTTAAATAGTAACGGAAACTGTTAAAATTAACTAACGCGGTTGGAATATTCCGTCATCCTTAACCTCAGAACTCCATCAACTGTCGCCGACGTCGGAAACTGGGTAAAACTTAAAACCTTGATATCTCACTCAATTTCAACCAAATTTCACGAATTAAATGTCAAAATGAACCTTAGGACAAGTAGAACAAACCCATACCAGTTTTAGGACCTAAATCCCACGAGATCTCACCGGAGAATTTAGAGAAAAACCGGCCAAGCTTGAAACTGACGATCCCGACGTCCAAATCGCTTGGTTTTTCTTCTCCGAGCTTCGTAGGGATGTTTTAAAGCTTCCTACAAGCTTCAAATCACCTGAAACCTTCACATTTACGTGTGCATGAACAGTGCACCAAATCGGAGGTTAGAGTTCTCGGGGTTTTTGGGGTTTTCAGGTCCTAAAAATAGCATATATGAATTCAGGGACATGCAAGGAGTTCAAATCTTACCTTCTTAACGTCGATCCGTGCATGAAATGTGAGTTTGGTGTTCGTCCGTACGTGAGGGAAGGAGAGAGAGAGTGTGTGAGTCCGAGGGAGAGAGCACGGAAGAGAAGAGAGAGGGAGAGTTGTGTGTGTGTGTGTGTGTGTGTTCCATGTGGTCACCAACCACCCAAAGAACATAACATCTAAGTCCCAAAGTATGTCACACACACACTACAATTTCAACATCTAAGGATAAAACCGTCATTTTACATCATCGATAGAAGTAAGTCCGGACGGGCTATGACATATACTCTCTAATATATTTTATGTGTGTGCGTATGGGTACATTCATCAAAGCTAACTAAACAATTACTAAAGCATGGGTACGTTTTTCAAAAGCACAAAAAAAAGATATTAGACATAATAACATTATTAAATTTCTTCTATTAAACTTGACATAAATATATTCTCAAATCAATAAAATAGAATAAACCCATATAAGTTTAAAAAATGGATTAGAGAAAAGATTGAATGAAATTTTATATAAATAATGGGTACATTTTAAATTAAAAAAGGGTATAGTTTTAACAAATTGGTATATTTAAGAATGAATACATATAAGATTAAAAAATTGATTTTTTTTTTATAAAAATTTAATGGGTACAAACTTATTCTAATTTTATTTTTTATGTTTGAGAAATGTTTGAATGGAAAATTATTTAGAAGTTTAATAAGGATGTGAGTATTAAAACTCTAAATCAATTACTAATTTTTTTTTAAAAAAATTATGTAACTTACATGTAATTCATTAATATATTAATGCTAGAGACTTTGATCAAAATCTAAAAACTGATAAGGTCTTAGTCAATAAACATTAGAAACTAGGGACCGGAAACTAATTTTTCCTTTATTTATATAACGATATATTTGCATTAACGGATAAAGAAATAAGTTGGTATCAAACTCATTATTCATAAGATTTGAACTTAAAACTTCTCATTCTTACAGATAAAAATAAATACTACTAGATTGTAGTGTTTAGTGATTTATACAAGTTTGTGTTAAGTAATGATTAAACTTTTCTACTTGAGACTGTCCCTTAATCTATAAGTCTTGACACAAGGTTAGAATTCTAGTTCTTCAAAAGTAGTATCTCATTGATGGCTCGGGCTCCCCTGGAAGGGGCCTTCTTCGCCTTCCACCTAAGCTGCTTAGAAAAGGCCTAAAGACAATCCCAGGGAACAATGAAGCTTCATAGGTCTTTCTGTCCAGATGCAGGTAGTCCGCATCTTCACCGACATGTCTATTTCAACGAGACTTATACAAGTTTGTGTTAAGTAATTATTAAAATCTACTCACTCATGTCTAAAATTGTCATGTTGTTCAACAAAAATAATTTTATCATTTTTATGGTTTGTTAAATACTTCAAGTTCGAATATTTGACGGCTATTTAAGAAAACATACCAAATTAACCGTAGATACGAACATAATGTACTAAGCTTAGAAAAAAAAATTTCACTCACATGAAAAGTAATGTAAACAAAGTGTAATGTATTGAGGTTTCGGAGAGCAATTTGCATGAAACGAGTTTATCACTATATGACATTCCAGTTATACATAAATAACATTGTGTTATTAGAACAAAATGTCGTTGTGCGTATAACTCGTTTATGTAAGTCCTTTAGAGTTGCACTTTCTAAACTTTGTTATTTTCCTCAAAAACCGATTTAACCCAATGGAAAACCCCACTTTCCACTAGGGATGACAATTTCCAATCCAATCAGCGTAACCGATCTGAACGATAAGAAATTCATTATCCAACCATACCACGTCATCCTTCAACTCCATAACCATAAATGCAAGAACCACGTATGAACTAAGTGGTTAATCACAAACTTAACCAATCAATTAAATTAAATAATTATAATTTAGAGTAACAAGTGGTTAATAGAGACGTGCACTACACAGCCAGAGCATCAGCATCAGCGGACGCGAGGCGAGAGAGAGGGATATGACTCATATGAGAGTGGAGCGCATACTGTGCAAACGCAGAAAGCAACTTCCCACAAAAGCCAAAAGCGATTCTTTAATTTCCTTCTTTCACCGACTGGATACTTCTTTCCACAAAACGCTATCTTTCCAGTTTCCACAGGTAAAAGCTTTGCTTTTTTCGTTTAAAGCTCGCAAATTTTGATTAATTATTTATCTGGGTGTGCTTGTTTTTGTGTGCAAGAACTAATTTTCTTGTTTGGGTTTCTTAATTTTGTGAAATTTGCATCTGGGTTTTGACTGGATTTGTGGGTTTGCAGCCTTTTATTCAATTGGGTTTCTTGTTTGCTATTTTCTGTTTTTTTTTTGGGGTTTCACTGTTTTGTTTCGAGTGATTTTTCACTTTTTTTCAATTGGGGTTTTTGTTTGTCTTAATTGCTGAGTAGAAAAGCATTGTGAGAGTTGAATGAGTATTTGGAATTGAAGAGGGTCTCACAGGCTTTGTGCTTCTTTTGTTCCTTTTAGCAGAGGAAGCATATTGGGGATTCTACAGGTTGTACTTTTGTTCTCATGCTAAAAATACTTTAAAATTAGGTTCAAATGCTAGTGATTGCATATGTAACATACAAAAACGGAAGATGCTTTAAGCACTCGAATTCAAAGTGCAACACCATCACTAATTTCTAGTACTGCATGCTTAGAAAAATTTCATATGTATCGTGGTTTTAGTCGCTTTAATTCATAGGATTAGCTTTCTGGAGTGATGGCATTGTGGGCGGGAGCTTTTAGTTCCAGAAAACTGACACCAATATTTGTCTGTCCTGTGTTATAGATTTCTCTAGTAATTATAGTTTGCATACAGAAAAACATGTCACCTTAGTCCCCCATAAGCATGAGCATTAAGCACTTCAAGTTAAATGTCATACTTCGGTGAATGTGGAATGGCTGAGAATTTAACAGATGGGTGTTTGTGATAACCCCTTTTCTTTTATAGTTGCAGTTCTTATTTGATTGCAATTAACAACATAAAGTCCCATTTAAAAATTTTGGGATCATGAAACTATCAGTTTTGCACAGTCTGAAAAGCTAATCACATCGTCTCTTCATAATTTACCGACTATTTTGTTGGCTGGTCGATAATTTTGCAGTTTACATGTTTCTGCCTGTTTGAGACCACATTTACCACCTGTAAACTCTTATTTCTTATTCCTGCCTCTTTGCGAAGGTTAATTAAATATTTCAAGCACTTTGTTGTGGCTTCTTTTATGTTTTAGTAACTTAATATCCTTTTAATGTTGTAGTATGTAATCTTCTTAACTCATAGTAACATTTTAATTATTTTGAATCTATAGAAATTGACTTAGTCGCCTATGATGCTAAATAACAGAAAGCAATGCCCCTGTCTACACTTGTGTTGGGTGCATAACAAGAATAACTGCAGAGAATGGGAGGTTGTTGCTGTTCTTCCAGAAAAGCTCGTGTGCAACTGCATGGAGCACCTGTATATATCTATGTCTGTGTATTTCCCTTCTCACTCTAACGTCTCTTTTGTTATTATAGTTTGCTTTTCATTGAGTACCTAACTGTTTATGGTGAATATCACATGTTATCCTTAATTGTTTAACTATATATGCATTAAGATTTCATTCTTAGTTATTTTTCTTTCTTTTCTTAAAACTCTTTTCTTCAGTGTCCTCCGGTTTTGGAAGAGCAAGAGTCGTTAAGATCTCATGATGTCACAGCCTCCGCAATCAGTGCAGGACTTCTGGTTTGTTGGGATTTGGAATCATCAATACCTGACACTTACAGACCCCCTCCTCCACCTTTGCCATATAATATGGTCTTTGGATCAACAGATTCTGATTCTGCCAGGGAAACAATTAGTTGCAGTAGTTTTGATACTTCCGCTACTTGTGGAGATCTTGGGGAATCAGACTGCAAAGTTCAAGAAGGTTCTTTGGATATCTCACCGAAGAAGTTAGGACTTTCCAAATCAAATGAACCTCATGGTTTAGAAAAAGAAGACGAGGATGTTTGTCCTATCTGTCTCGAAGGTACTTTACCATCAATAGAAGAGAAAATCCCTTTTTGCATCACTTTGCTATTTTTAACTGCGGGTAGCTAATTATTAATCATGTTTCTCCACTCGCAGAGTACGAAACCGAGAATCCAAGGTTTATCACAAAATGCAAACACCACTATCACCTCTCGTGTATCCTTGAGTGGATGGAAAGAAGTGATGCCTGTCCTATATGTGATCAGGTTTGCCTTTTAAAATAAGTGATACGTGCAGTTATTATATATTTTTCATCAGATTGTCATGGAAAGGAGTTCGTTTTTCTAGATAGTGCCTTTGGTATTCATCTGTCAACAATGCTTGTACAGGAAGTCATTTCACCAATGAAGAAGGTAAAAGAAGAGTAGAAATTACTGATGCACCTGATTTTTGGTGGAATGATGATTACGGAACGGTTACAATCGTAAGGGTGAGCCTAGTTAATTGTTGACTGGATGAACCCTAGGTGCTAATTATTGAGTCATCAAATCTGTCTGAGTTTGTCATATGTGGTATTTAAAGCCCTTATGCTTGCAATTTAAAGTTTCTCCTCTGATATTTCAGGAACTGGCAGTTGACCAAACCTTGTAGTTTGTAGCTCGTTCTTTTGTAAAATCAAAGTTTATTTGCTGCTCGAAGTCAGAGATTGCCAACTCAGTAGACTCTAGACCGACAGTAGCTCTTTCTTTCGAAACTTTCCAGGGATGTGTGGCCTGCAGATTCATTTATAATTTCGGTCATGCTCAAATTGAAGATTGCACCGAATCTCTTTAGTTAGCTGTATTAGCGGGTCAGTTGATGGCGGCAACGTCTCTTTCCCTATGTTTATGGCTTGATTCAAATTCTCAGACAGGCCTCTAGGTTTAAAGTGGAGCAACCAAGAGGTTAAGAACAAGGTCTTCCTGTGGAACCAAGGTAACAACAGTTCCGCTATGTACATATCTCTTAGTTTGTTGTAGGAATCCTTCTGTTGCCCATTTGTTGCTGTCTGCTGCAGGATTTGATCATACACTGCAGTCCTTAAATTTGTAATTTGTGTAAATCACATCTCTTTTACTTTGTGGGTGGATCTGATTTAGAAAAATTGTTTCATGTATAAAAGCATGCAATGATGAAGAAATCTAGTCCTGAAAAGTATACCACACAAAGTTGATCTTATATACATTTGGGAAATTAAGGGCCTCGTTGATAATCATTTCGTTTTTGTTTTTTCGTTTGAGATAAAGAGGAGAAAATAGGAAGAAGGGGAGAGGTAAAATGGTGGGAGAGATGTGGAAGTGGATGTTGAAAGGGACACAAAATGCAAACTGAAAACAAAAAGTGGAAAACAAATTAGGAGGTGTCTCACTGGGCATTGATGATATACTAATCTTTCTCCTCATGCAGTCTTGCTATAACATAAGGCGACATTGTACTTTTGGCCTCCAAGTCAAACGGTACACCGTACCGTATGAGTTCGAACTCGAATTAGAATTTCGAAACCCTTGCTTTCAGCTTAATTTTTGTTGAACTGTCTGCTTGAACTTCCAAGAATTGAGAAAAAGCGTACCTGCGTATATACAATGCAGATTAAAGATGAGCTGGTGGCATGCAAGAGAGGCACAAAGTGAGCCTTTTGTTATCACAAAGGGAAACATTTGGAAACCTTCTATCACTTGGTTATTGTGAAAACAAGGACTTGTCTACTAGTAAAACGTACTTGTCCCCAATATATAACAAGCTTTTTCTTTTTTATACAAGCAATATTGAAAATTTAAAAAAAAAAAAATCGAGCACAAAACTGCAAGTGCTTGAATGCGAGAATTTTACATTTACAATAAACCATATCAATTATTAAACTTTTGTATTAATGCTTTCGAGACATGATATTGTGTTGATGTTCAGATAAAGAATTGTCATTCTCGTTGTTTCCAAACACCAGAAATAAAAACACCATATTTCGTGTTTTTTTTTATTTTTTATCCAAAGATAGAGATATATTAAATACGAATGGAAATGTTTACATCCTGCGCAAGAACATTAAACAAAAATTCAGGGCCAACATGGTCCTAGACAAAGTCCTTGCCTTCCTTAAAGACAAACTTAGCCACAGAGTGAGCGGCACGATTTCGCTCCCTAAGCACAAAGCCAAACGTCACAGACGTTAGTCTTCGGGCTAGTACCTCAATATCGCCAAGAATGCATTCAAAGCTACAGTTAGGGGCAGTCCCCTTATTGATCATCAGAATGACAGTTTTTGCATCTGCTTCCACAAAGACATTCTCAAATCCGTATTCAGTACAGTATTGCAAACCTGTACGGATAGCATGTGCCTCTGCAGCAGCCGCGCAGTGGAAAGTGTTGGTGCCCGAGCCTCCCGCCGCATGGAGAATGCCAGTGAAATCTCTGATAACCCATCCCGCTCCGGCTCTGAAGGACGCACTGCACCAGGACGCGTCGGTATTGAGCTTGAAAGTTCCAAACTGCGGCTTTTCCCAGAGAACAGGCATCATCGGAGGAGATTTTAGGGGCCATACTGCACCCTCATCCAGAGAACCATGATTCATAGCTTCCCTGTACTCACCGATGTTCTTCCTCCAAACAGTTAGGATTTCATTTGGTTAGCAGTGTGACCCTTTGAACACCACATCATTTCTGTTTTTCCATATCCGCCAAAGCCCAAACGCAAATTCTTGCATGATAGCCTCTGCGTCCTCTCTATCTTTAATACTAGTGCAGAAGATATTCCAGCTATCTAAAAAATCAGCACCGATCAATTCAATGGAGTTGAGATGTAGTGGGGAACAAAACCAGAGGCGGTGGCTGAGGTCACATCTAAAAAATAGGTGATTTTCAGATTCGTCAACCAAGTTGCATACCCCGCAGACATTGTCGATCCGCATATATCGTCTTTTTAGATTGTGACGAACAGCAAGGGCATTATTACAGCATCTCCATATGAAGAACTTGATTTTGTTGGGAACTTGAAGGTTCCAAATACCTTTCCAAACCTGATTGGTGTTATGGTGCATGCTAGGGACTCCTCGCCCTTTTTTTCCCAAAGCTCCGTTCTCCAGTAAACTAACAGCAACCCCGTAACCGGTTTTAACCGAGTAGCTTCCGTCGACGGTGTGGTGCCACACAAGTCTATCACAGCAGCCAAATTTACTTAAGGGGATGCTAAGTATGTGTTTTGTATCCTCCGAACTGAAGCCTTGCAGGATGACTTCACTCTTCCATGACCTGGAGTTGGGCTCAATCAAATCACTAACCATAGTTTCTTGCAGGCAGTCTCTCGGCTTTACCAAAAAGGTGTGGGTTCGGGAACCACGGGTCGTCCCGGATGTTAATCTTAGTGCCATCTCCCACCCGCCACCTGATTCCATGTTGAAGCACCCTTCGAGCTTCGAAGATACCTTTCCATCCCCACGATGTGTTTTTACCCTTTCCTGCCTCCCTAAAGGTTTTCTCCGGGAAGTATTTTTCTCTTAGCACAGAGGCTAAGAGAGACGACGGGTTCTGGATAATTCTTCAACCGATCTTAGCTAGGAAAGCAAGATTGAAACATTGTATGTCTTTAAAGCCAAGTCCGCCCAACTTTTGTGCCTCATTAATTGATCCTATGAGATCCAGTGAACTCCCTTTTTTTGGTCATTTCCTCTCCACCAATAATTCCGTATAGCCCTCCCCACATCCCTGCAAACCCCGATGGGGAGCTTAAAACAACTCATGGCGTAGTTGGGCAGTGCCATGGCCACCGCCTTAACGAGGACCTCTTTGCCGGCATGGGACAGGAACTGCTCAGACCATCCCGCTAGTCTAGCCTCAATCTTATCCCGGACCTCAGCAAACACTACTTTTTTGGACATGCCAAAATCAGATTGTAGCCCTAGGTATTTCCCAAAGCCCATCCGACAGTGGATGCCCAAAGTTTCCCCAATTTTCTTCTTATTTTCTTTTCGATGTTGTGGATCCAAAGAAAAGAGAGCTCTTGTCCAGATTTATGTTCTGCCCCGAGCCATTTGCATAAACATTCAGAACATCCACCATCCCTTGAGCCTCCTCCACAATGGCGTGCCCAAAAAGCACAGAGTCATCCGCAAAGAAGAGGTGGGATAGGGGGTTACCACTTGGTGTCAGCTTGATACCGTGTAGGGATCCGCGTTCCATGCTTCTTCTGATTAGCGAAGAGAATCCTTCGGTACATAAGAGAAACAGAAAAGGGGATAGTGGGTCACCTTGTCGAAGCCCCATCTCAGGATAGATATGGCCCGTCGGAGAACCATTAATGAGAATACTGAAGGAGACAGAAGAGATGTATTCCTTTATACGATCGCAGAACATAGGCGCAAAACCCAATTTGACCATCATGGAAAGAATGAAGTTCCATTCCACCCAGTCGTACGCTTTGGCCATGTCCAACTTTATGGCCATTCCTTCTTGGTTCCCTTTCTTTTGGTGAAGCAGAGAGTGAAGAATTTCATGCACCACTAGGATGTTGTCTTGTATTTGTTTCCCAGCAACGAAAGCGGATTGATATTCTCCAATTATTTTCGGCATCACAGACTTTAGCCTGTTAGTCAATATCTTGGCAATGATCTTATAAATAACGTTGCATAGCGCAATAGGCCTGAATTGCGCCATACTCTTTGGACATTTCACCTTTGGGATGAGAACCAAATTGGTGTGGTTTAGCTTCCTCAACAGTTTCCCCGAGTGCCAGAAGGCATTGACAACCAAAGTCACATCCTTACCCACAGTCTCCCAATGATCCTTATAGAAACATCCGGTGAAGCCGTCGGGCCCCGGGGCTTTCGTAGGTGGAATTTGGAAGGCTGCCTCCATAATTTCACTGTCTGTGATCGGAGCCGTCAGAAGCCGGTTGTCATCATTACTAACTCTATTCTCCATGCACTCCGTTATCTCTCCAATATGACTCGGCCTAGAGGATTGAAACAAGCCAGTAAAGTAGGAAGAAGCAATATCACATATTTCCTTTTCATCCTCGTGCCAAACTCCGTGATGGTCCTCCAGCCATTTGATCTTATTGTGCTTTCTTCTTCTCACAGTTTGTGCATGAAAGAATTTAGTGTTCTTTTCACCCTCTTTTAACCATTGAATTTTGGATTTCAATTTCCAGTAGGCTTCTTCTTCCTTGTGAGCAGCTCGTAATTCTTTCTCCTTTATCTTTATCTGGTCGGAAGCAAACTGATTGGACTCATAAGCCCTCCGGATCTCCACCTTCAGTTGGTCAATAGCTTTCTTAGAGTTTCTACCCCTGCCTCTATACCACTCCTTTAAGCTCCTTCTTAGTGTTTTCATTTTTTCACATAAACGAAAGGCATGGGAGCCTCCCGAAATACATCTCCAGTCTCTGGACACACGGTCGCGACAGTCTTCCATTTTGCTCCACCGTGAGTCAAAGGCGAATTTCCGTCCTCTCCACACCCTCATTTTTTCAGTGAAGAGGATCAGCATTACGTGATCAGATCCGTCGAGGGTGACGTGCTTGATTGTGGTGTCAGGGTAGAGATCGGACCAACCTGGGGTAGCAAGCCCGCGATCCAACCTCTGTTGGATGGGAAGTGAGTCGCGATTGTTCCTCCAAGTGAATGGGTAGCCTTCAAAACCCAAGTCCAGAAGCTCGTTCCTCGCCACGAAATCTCTGAAGTCCCTCAAACTGGAGATAGACCTTGTGTTGCCGCCTTCCTTCTCATCGTTGCACAAGATGTTGTTGAAATCACCAATGAGGAGGCAATGGTTATCATCATAGTTGATCCTTTTACTGAGATTCTTCCATTGCTCCATTCGTCTCCGTTCATCCGTACTGGCGTAAATGGCAAAAAGTCTCCAGTGGTGGTTGATGGTTGCATCCCAAACCTTGACTTCAATCATGAACTCCTCTGATTTTACAAGCATGATTTGTGACTCATCTTTCCAGAGGACACAGAGTCCGCCACCGATGCCTTTTGGCTCCACAGCGAACATAAAATTCATATCTAACCTTCTTTTCAGAAACTCATAGCGACTGCTTTTGTTTTTCGTTTCAAGCAGGATCACTATGTCGGGGGTATGACGCCGATTCTGTTCCAGCAAATTGTCAATTGTCAGGTCACCCCCGATACCCTGGCAGTTCCAAACGATTAGCTTCATGGATTCTTGGGAGACCCCTCTCGTAAGACCAATTCATGGGTGAGGATCTTATAAGTCTTATAT